ATTCGAACCCGCCACCTTAGGTGTATGTGGCTGGCGCCTTAGCCACTTGAGCCACGGGCGCCGAGCCACATAAACATATTTCTTTAAAATTTTTATAATTTTGGAGGTAAAGCATAAGTTTGCTTTGACCATCCCCAGCCCATGTAATTGGTTTATAATTTATTCATAAGCACATTTTATGTACCTCTAGAAAATATATAACGTGGATTTTAATTGTAACATTATCCTGTAACTTTTCACTCACTACTTGGAGATCTTTCAAAGTTATGTATGTGGCTATACCAAATTCTTAATTTCTGTGTTTGGTATGTGTGATATGGATAGCATAATTGACAAGGGTATTTAACCTATTGAAGGACACACCGGTTGCAGTTTTTATTTTTTGCGAACAATTTTGCAGAGAGCATATTTATTCCTGCCACCTTGTTTGTATCTGTTCCTCTGGAATAAATATGGAAAAGAAGAAAGCTGCATTCTGGGGTTTCCACACCGAGTTTGTTTTTTCTGTTTCCTTTTTCCTTTTCTTTTTTTGAGACAAGGTCTTTTGAGTGCAGTGGCATCATCATAGCTCTCTGCATTCTTCAAAGGCTCAAGCTATGTTGCTTCAGTCTCCCAAGAGCCTGGCACAACAGGCACGTGGCACTACGCCTAGCTAATTAAAATTTTGTTGTTTTTTTAGAGATGGGTTCTTGCTATGTTGCTCGGGCTGTTGGGGGTTCAAGTGGTCTCCTGCCTTGGCCTCCCAAAGTGCTGGGATTACAGGTGCGAGCCACCATGCCTGGCCCATACCAAATGTTTTAACAGACTGAGCTAGCCATCCAGTTCTCACCAGCAAGGTATCTCACCTGATACTGAAAAGTGTTAAAATTTTAATATTCTGGCAAGTGAAATTTCTTTGGTGAATTATCTGTTTTTGTATTGTTTTATCTTATTAATTTGTACACTATATATTTTTTTAATTAAATCATAGCCATGTACATTAATACAGTCATGGGGTACAGTGCTGTTTTTTTATACAATTTGAAATATTTTCATCAAACTGGTTAACATAGCCTTCATGTCATTTTCTTAGTTATTGTTTTAAGATTTATATTCTACATTTAGAAAGATTCACATGTACCCTTATAAGATGAACCATAGGGGTGATCCCACCAATCACCCTCCCTCCACCCATCCTTTTGGAAAGACATCTGGAGAACACATAGAGAACTAAAAATAGACCTATCATTTGATCCTACAATTCCTCTACTAGGTATATATCCAGAAGACCAAAAATCATACTACAACAAAGATATTTGTACCAGAATGTTTATTGCAGCCTAATTCATAATTGCTAGGTTATGGAAGAAGCCCAAGTGCCCATCAAGCCACGAATGGATTAATAAATTGTGGTATATGTACACCATGGAATACTATGCAGCCCTAAAGAAGGATGTAGCCTATTTTTAATCTTTTTTTTTTTTTAAGACAGATTCTCACTATGTCGCCCTCGATACAGTGTTGTGGCATCACAGCTCATAGCAACCCCCAACTCTTGGGCTTAAGTGACTCTTGCCTTAGCCTCCCAAGTAGCTGGGACTACAGGGGCCTGCCACAACACCCAGCTAACCTGTTTTTAATCTTAACCCTTTGCAGAGTGCTCAGAAATAAGAAACCTACCCACAGGCATCTTTTGTACTAAGTGAGTATTGGTTACCCTTAGCCATACAATATTGTATGCCTAAAGGTGTGGTTTGCACTAAAGGGACAAAGAATGCCTATAGATGCTGTTCATAGTCAAAAGGTTAAAATATACTAGATGCTAATCCATAGTGAAAAGATTTTTTTTCGAGTCTTTGTACTCTGGTGGGTACTGACTATAACTGGGAGACAGAAGCCATACTGTGTGAACAGGAGAAGTTTGATAGTGAATTGGAGTGATGGGGCTACTGTCTAGAATTTTATATAAAAGTTTGTGAAGCAGTAAAGAGAGCTCTGAAAATACAGGGATAGCAGATGTGGGAAGCCGGCACTAGACCTCATTAGAGAGGATGCAGTCTTGGCTCTCTGGGTGGTGAAATTTGTGGTTGGTGCAAATCCATCTGAGAGGGTGCCAGGCAGCCATCATTGAGAGCTGGTAGACCAGTGGCAGTCTTCTAGGAAGTCATCCAGAGAGGCATGAGGTCAACCACTATGAAGCTCTGAAGTCACCAAGTCACCCACGGTGTCTGCCTAAAGGAGCACACTGGAACCAGGAAAGAAAATCCCTCCAGCATCTGGCCAGTTCCTTCTACTGGCACAACATGCCACTTAGGGAAACAGAAATACTCACAAGCTCCAGCTCCGTCGTCAGAGCAGAGCAGGCAATGACAGGTGGATTGGGAGCTGAGAGGCAATAAATTAATGGTCACAGTCTACCTCTTTGGCTACTTGGTATCCACATGTTTCATCCTACATCAGTGGAACCATTGTTGTGTCCCTGGGAACTGAGAACTCTAAACCCGAATAGCTCAAGATTGCTGCTATAAGACCAACCCCTCTTAACACCCAGTGACTCCTGGACCCATACATTCTGGTTTAAAGCATAAACTGTAAGATAAAACTTTATCCTTTCAGTGTGGTTTCTCCCTGCTGTGGTCATAAAGTGAGTATACAGTGAACCATCTACCTTTCAATTAGATCTGCCACTTCTGGGTATTGGGGGATGTTAGTTTCATAGGTGGGAGCTCACTGCAGCATTTCCTTTGCTGTGAAATTGATTCCATGCTTAGAAGACGTGCTATGGGAAATGCCATGACAGTAGACATTCTGTGAACACGTGGATTGGATAGTGGTGCTGGCATGTGGGTAGGGAAAGCAATCTGTATCCAGAACATGTGTCTATTCCAATGAAAGTGAATCTCTACGCCCTTCATGATGGAGGTACAACATGGGCTTTCCCTTACCAATGTTGATATGTCAAGAGATGTAATCAACCTGCCACAAAAGAGATGGCTATTACCCATGTGATGGTGCCACATTGCATTCGTGGTATTGGTCTTAGCTCTTGACAGATTAGGCACGTGGCAATATTGCATGTCACCCTTGGTAAGGGGGATCCTGTGTTGTTGAACCCACACACAGCCTCTATCCCTAGCATTGTGGCCACATTATGCAAGGAGCCCATTGAGCAAGCAGTGTGGCAGCTGGGGAATGAGGCTGACTGATGGCATCAGTGCACTTATTTTGTCAACTTGGTTGAGGAGTCTTCTCTGCAGTGGATGCCCTTTGGTGAGCATTAACATAGGACACAGGTATTTTCACAGTCTGTGCCCACGCTAAGAGGTCCATCCACTGAGTCTTCCCAGACTTCCTCATCACCAGCCTTTCATCCTGTTTGTTTCAAGTTCCCGACTGGCTAGGCAAACCATTAGCAAATATCCATGAATTAGCGTAGGACTGTACCACTGGTGTTGTGTTCACAGGAAGGACTTTCTTTCACCACTGTTGTCCATGGGGACCCTTGTTGGGGGGCTGTAGTGCTTTTGCTGTCCACTGTAGGATGAACCAACATTTCATGCAGACTCATCTATGAATCAGGCTTGGTTTTTTCATTCCTGGCCAACTGGTTGTTAGGAGCACCCCAAAATGCCATTTATATGGATTGAGAGAAAGACGGCAATGCAACAGGAAAGAGTCTGAGCCACCTGCTCATGCAAAGCTACTTCTACCTTCTAGACCTGCCCAAGAGAGCTAAGTCTACTGCTACCATTTCCACCTGATGATAGACTGCTGCCATACATGTCCAAGTTGACGACTAAGCCAGCTAACTACTCCCAAATTATGATGAGAAGCTCAGGCCGTATGATCGCCTGCTATTCCATGGTTAGTGAGGTGCTCAGTCTCCACTAAGACACAGAAACAGAAACTGTTTCTTATCAGAATAGTCATCTTCGGAAGAGGATATAAATTTGCTCCAAAAGCTTACAAATCTGCCTTGTGATTCTCCTGTGATGTTTGACAGGCTGTATACAATGTCCCTATATGCCATGATACTTTGAGTATCATTGGATCTGCCGGACTGTGAGACCCACATGGTAGCACAGTTTGTACAATAATTCAAACTCACCTTAGAACCTTCTCATGCTCTGCTCCTCCTCAGAAATGGTGATCACACTTCTGTGATCTGTAGATGAGTTGAAATAGCACACACTCACAGATGGTATATGTTGTCCTCAAAATCAAAGTGACCTGAGCATCGTGTCTCCTTAATCATAGCACATGGTATAAGGTACAGCAGCTTATATTTCACTTTGGAAGGGAACGTTTTAACATGCTTCAAACCACCGGACCCCAGAAACATCACTGAGGTCGAGGGCTCTGAACTGTAGGATTTTTTTTGCCCTCTAGTCCTTATATATTTTACCAAGCACCTAAGTACTTGCCACTCCCTGCTCATCATTTCCAGTCAGCATGATGCCATCAATGTAGTATGCTAATGTGATGCTTGGTGGAGGATCGTGATGATAAAGGTCTTCATGGGCTGTATCATGGCAGAAAGCAGAAGTGGCAAATCCCTGAGGCAAGACCCTGAAGATATATTATGGCCCTGCCAGCTAAAAGTAAACTTTTTCTTGTAGTCTTTACAAATGCATATGGACCAAACAGCATCAAGTCAGTAACTGCATACCAAGGGCTGGGGCATATTGATATGTTTTAGTAAAGATACGAAATCTGGTAGAGCAAAGCGAGGTCACTCCCTAATCATTTTCCAGGATCTGTCTCCTGCAAGGCCAAAGTGGGGAGCTCACTGGAACCTGGAGGAAAAACCCTTCTTTCTCCCCTCCAGTCCCCTCTAGTACCCTCTACTGACAAAGTTTAGCATCTTGCTAGCTGTCAGAGAGGAAATGTTCACAAGGTACATTTTCATTATTGCAGGACAATAAAGAAAGGGTGAACCCAAGCGGACATGTAATAAATAATGCACAGTATCTTGTGTTAATGTTTTAGTTCTGATATCAAAATTATCAATCTTCCTCTTGGCTTTTTGTTTTTTATATTGTTTCCACCATCAGTGAGGATGTGCATGTGTGCAGGCATCTACATCTTTAACCCATTGGGGATTCATTGTGTATGGGGTTAGGGGATAGTTTAATTTATTCTTCTTTTTTTTTGGTTATTTCCATTATTTTTAATTTTTTTATTTTTTATTAAGTCATTTGTACATAGATCATAAATATATTTATGCTACTATGGGATTCAATGTGTTGATTATTTTTATAAATCGGAGTGCTTACATCCTACTAAACAACATAGCCTTCACCTCATTTACCCAATTACAGGATTAAGACATTTGTGTTCTACACCTGATAGATCCAACTTGTACTTGCAATATGCTCCATAGCCGTGGTCCCCCTACCAACCCTCCCTCTTTCGACCCAGCCCCCCTTCCCCTCTCCTTCCGAATTTAATTTATTCTGATTAGCCTCAATCTTCTCCTTAATTTGAAAAGCCACATGAATCATATAAATTTCTGTATATAAATATGTTCCTCTGGTCTATTCTGTTCCATTCATCTATTTATTCATTTCTTTACTCAAGATAGATTTTCTTGTCTGAACAAACAAAAAAAAAAGACTTGGTAGAATTTTACTCATCTGTGGAAAGCTTGGGCATCTGTAGGAAGAATGGAAAGACTGTTAGGAGAGGATAGAAAATTTGTTTCTTAAGTGAAACAAATGTTTTGAAATGTATTTGGATTCATCTCTATTCAAATATACTATGGTTTTTCACGTGTTAGCAATCAGTACCTAAGTGGCAAGGTACTCATATCAAGAGGCTGCTGGTTGGCCAGCGGTAAGGGATAGCTTGTAAGAATGCAAATCCATGCTCATGTTTTAAAATTTAGGACCAAGCCCTATTTCACCTAGGGCACTCCAGATGTAATCATCTCAGCCTTTCAACACTATTTTCTAAGTACTATAAGAAAAAGTAGATAAAAGCTTTAATAGAGTTTAAAGTTATTTTTATTCATAAAATTCTCATAGAAATAAAACTTGGAATAAGAAGATAGGATTACCAATCAGGTTTGAATGGGATTCTGGATGGAGCAGTCTGAACTTGAAAAGCTGTAAGTTGAACATTTTCTGCCGTACTGGGTAGGAAAACATCATCAATCCTTTTTTTGTATTTAATAGGTACCTGTAATGTTAAGTAGATATTGTTATTTGTTAAGAAGGAAGTTTGTTATAGAATCATAAAAAGTTACTACTATTAATCAGACTGGAATCATTCATTGGTCCACATCATTTGGTGTGGCTTCTTGAACATACAGGGTCAAGAATTGAATCCATCAATGGAGAGCCATTTCCAGCTAAGTAAGAAAAGTTATCCCATATTTGGAATAATCTAAAAAATCCTTAATATTTTATCATTTATGTTAGTGCTGTGCTATTTATTAGAAAATTGTTGTTTTTTTTTTTTTTTTT